ATTTATATATAATTATTAAAATGGTTTTTAAAAAAATATATGATAGTGATTGCTATATTAATGTGATTATAAGTAGGAAAATTAATAATAAAAAAAATGGTCTAAAAAATTGTGTGACTTTATTGAGGTTGTGATTATAGCAGGTGTGACTATAGCGAGAGCTGACTGTATATAGATATGATATATAAACACATCACAGTAGGTGATGTATATATTTATCCTATATAAAATATTATATATTCATAATACCTATGTTATATAACATCTATATAGTCAGAATTAGAGTTTTAAATTTAGGCTAGAATGTGGCTTTAATATATACTGTATATTAGATATAAGGTCCTATAAGATCCCAATTTTAGCTTTTGTGAGTTTTTTTGGAGTCCTGAACATTTTATTTTGAGTACTTGATCCTGTTTATTTAGTATATTTTTGAGATACAGTATAAGGTGTTATATAATATATATATAAATAATTTATTTTTTTTATAAAAATGCTTTACAATAGCAAAATAACCATGAAGATTATATAAATCTATTAGAAAACAAGGTCCAAAGTCTTGAAAAAGATATAGAAAACCATAAATATTATATATATGAATTAGAGAACAATATTCAAAGCCTTGAAGAAAAAATGATATACAATCTTTAAATAATACTAAAAAAGATTTAAAAAATAAGATAGATCAGATCAATTAAAAAGAACTATAAGTAAAATTTTAAATTTAATTACTGCATAATTTCTAAAAACTATTTTTCAATTAAATTAATTTTTTTAAAATTATATATAGCATAAAATATTTGAAGTATTAAAAGAAAAAGGGCCAAAATATAGTTTTAATATCAAAAAACCTTGGTGTGATCAAGAAAAATAGATTATCAAAAACACAATTCTATTATTACAAGACCTGGCACTTCAATATAATGTAACAGATAAATATTTGTTACAAATCTTACAGCAAAGATATAAGTCACAGAGTAACTTGTTAAAAACTAAAAATAATCCAAAAAAATATGCTCTTTTTAAAAAATGAACTCATAAAAACAATCATCACTCAGAAGTATGTTATTTGCTAATTATTTTAAAATTTAGTTAAATTTATAAATAATTAATTTTATCTTGTAGAAATTATTGCGATGTGCAAAAGCATTAAATTTTCTTCAGAGTACAGAAAACAAATTAGTTGAAAAATATAATTCTGAAGAACTAAAAGTTCTTATATGTTCATGTGATGTACACTCTCCAAAAATATCAGATGCAGAAGATAATGATGAAAATAATAATAAATATATAAACTGTTATAATTTGCCCTAGAGGTTATATAAGGTATAGTATTATAATCAGAGTTTAATAAAATTAATTTTTTGCATATTTTCTTATTGCTTTTACTATAATTAATAGTTACAAGAACTTCTATGAAAAGTGCTAGATCCAGTAGCATACTGTATAGCACCTTTACACCAGTCAAGACAGTATAATGATGAAATCTATTATATTAAAAATCCAGTATTTCCAACAGATGCTCCTGATTGGGCAGTTAAACCTGAAATTAGAAAGCACAAATGGCAAACCCTAGAAGTAGAAAATAATAAAAAATGACAAAGAATTAGGTAGACGAGGATATTTAAATTGTTTTTTAACATATATATATATATTATCTTATTTTTATTTTAATACTATATATTGTATACATATTATCTTAATTATCATATATACTGTACTATTTTTATTTTTATTTTAATATATTATATATCATAAAAATAAAATAAAATAAATTTAATTGAATATGATCAGATGAATCTTCGTTCAAAGTTTAGGTATCTATAAAAAGAAGCTATGATAATTTTTTCAAAAATTTTTAGTGTAGTTTTTCAAAAAAAATCTATTCAATCTCAATAAATTTTTTTACTTTATTTTAATTCTATAAACTTACAGAATTAAAATAAAAAAATTTTCATCAAATTTGAATCAATGGGCATTGAGAAATCTTCGTTTAAAGTTTAAAAAAGATAATTTATACGATTTTTTAGTATTTCTGATATTTAACTACAGTATTTTTTAAATTTTTTATTGAAGATTTTTCAATATTTATCTATCCCAATTTGATTAATTTTTTTTATTTTTAATCTACAAAGTACAGAATTAAAAATAAAAATTTTACTGAAATTATCAAGTATTTACTGAGAAATTTTCGTTAGAATCTTGAAATTTTTACAAAATCCTAATATTTTAATTTTGATTGTCTGTTTTATCACGTGACCCAACCTTTTTTTGCTATGCTTAGGGTACCCTACTAATAAAAGTTGTGCAAACATAAGTTAATTTGCAATTTTTTTATTTTAAAATTTAAATAGACAAAGAAAAATATTCTACTGTATTTTAAAATAAAATTTATAGCTAGTAATTTTTTTAATAAATTTTACTACTAGAAATTTTAATAAATTTTAAATTTGTAAGAATGTCTTCTACCTTATACTGATGTAAATACTTTTAATTTTATTTTATTAGTTTGGTACATAAGTATGAAAACTTACTTATTAATTGATATAAAATATTTGATACTATTTTTTTTTTTTAATTTACTAATAATTTTACTAAGATTATATACAAGGTTTATTAATTTTAAATTTGCTAATTCATATAATATGCTAATTAAACCAATTTTTACAATCAAACATTAAACCCTTGCTTATAGTTAGGTTAAGGGTAGATTTGGAATTAGAAAGAGATTTAGTTTGTACCAAAATTTTACAAGAAATTTTTTTGTTAGAAACTAAAAAATTTGGTTTTATTTGACATACACCTTATGTACAAAAAGAAAATATCTTTTCTTAATAATTAAGTAAAAAACACTTTTATTAATTTGTATAAAAACATTAAAATATAGAAAAAATATAGTAACTTATTAAAAATTTTATTAATTTTCATGCCTTAGTACAGACTATCTATCAATATATAAAATATAAAATTATAATTGCTATGTATAAATCTAAATATTAATATAAAATTTAATATGAAAATATAAGTGATTAAAAAATTATATTTAACACATACATGATATTACAGATATTTATGTCCATTAGATCAGATAATTATACCTAAATATTCTGCATCAAATATCATTATAAATATATCATCGTATTGTAAGAAACATATTTAATAAATAAATAAAATAA